CCCCCCCCCCCCCCCCCCCCCCATTTTATAACCACCTAAAAGATGATAAAGAAGTAAATGTATTTTTTAACTCAAAACAGTTAAAGCCATCATCAGTTTAATGAAATCAGACAACAGTTTATGTACAGAATTGTTTCTTACTTTTTCTGTAATTTTTTATGCGTGTAATTTTCGTGTTCCGTAATTTTTTCGGCAGGTTTAACGAGAGGTTCTGGATTTCAGTTTTCCAAAATAATTTGAGACAAATGCCTTTATAGCCACTTTAAATCTTTATCTGCAGCATGCCAGAAGCAAGACGTAGCAAAGGGAATTGCTGAGTACAATTTGATATTTGGTGCCAGCGATGAGGTAGGCCACTACCTAATAAAATCACAACACTGAATGGCAGTGAGAAATGTTTTACTCCCCCTCTGAACCCATAATATTGGCAGAGGTTTAAAGAAGTGAATTGTGTCTGACAAATATGCACAGTTAATTTGTATTCATAAATTCCACACTCATAACTGACGTCATTAGATACGACACCTAACATGTTAAATTCAAAACAGTCTCGTTTATTTAAAATAAGGACAATAAATTAATCTGCATTTTCCACTTCTAATGTGCCTCCCACGTAGTCGGATTTAAACTTGGTATTCATTGTCAGAAACTGAAATAAACATTGTTGGAATAACGGATTTAGTCGGTTTCCAAACGAAACCCTTTTATTTGTGGATATCAAAAGTAAACAGCTAGTCTGGCTTCAGATATGAACACGTGGCCTTATTTTATATCTTTACTACTGAACGACTGAAGCACGTGGTGTTTTTTTAAACCCTTTTGCTGTTCTTTGTTTTCTCACCACTTTCCTCAGATTACGCAGTTGTAAGGTACAAATATGAAAGATTTTCATTAACATTTTTGTACAGTTTAAAATGCTTCAAGGTAGGTGGCAGCACAGTGCACCAACAAAAATGTGGTTTTCATAGGTCGGCGATTGAGGTCAAATGATGCAGTGAAAGGAGAAGATCATTTCTTGATGTGTACTAAAGTTGGATGTTGCGTTGTATGGCAATGGGTGCTCGTTCGTCGTCCGTCGAATATCGCGGCAGTAGGGTTAAATGATGGATGCGTTGGACACACATCATCAAGCAAATCATCACAGGCAGCAATGCACATTGAAATTAGACAGGAAAATTTAAACATATTTTATCACAAATAAATGCTTTAAATTTACTTTTCTAAATTAAATTTTCCTCAATAGGTTATTTAATTCCTTTATAAAAATTATCTCTCTTTGTCATGGTATGTAGAAAACATGTTTCAATAAAGAAGTTATGGATGCTATAAGAGAGTTAAATACAAATCATAACATCATCACTCAAATTGCTACTATTGTAATCTATCTGTGAAGCATTTTGAAGAATCGACAATTATGCTATCAGTAATAATACACAATAACGATAATGATTATAACAACAACATACTAGATGCATATGCTGAAGTGTTGCATATTTTTGGAGTAATTTCAGTCTTCCATTACTTGTCTGCCTGGGTTTAATGTATTTTCTAGCCAATTATCTTTATACTGACAGCCAGCAGCTTGAGACTGAAACTCTAAGTGCATTTTTACAATTATTTATCCAAGAACTTACAATTTTTTTGTAAAAAAAATGTGTATATATTCATATATTTTGGTTATGTAACTACACCACCTCAACCCCCAAGTGTCTACATGGCACAGCTAAAAAGAAAAATAGCCCATAAAATAACATTGAAAGAAAAAAATATGTACGTGTTATCACGAAAACTTTCTCCATCCCTCAAATTATTCGACACTACAAAAGTGTAGGTAACAGTGTGTCCTAAAATAACAACTATGGGCCCGACTGAAGATGCTATCGAACTTTGCGGTCGAGCGGTTGGCACACCTGGTATGTATTCGGGATGTCCCGGAGACCAGCTATTTTCACAGGTTTTCATCAGTCCCTCCAGGCACATTCCGGGATACGACGCTTGCATGTTCTTCTCAACTCGTTTATTCTGACATTCGACGCTACACACGGACACCTACGTTAAACTACAAGTAAGTGTCGATGCCATCGTCTAAACGCCTACACCAAGTGAGATTTCAGGTTCTCATAGACATTGCCCCATGTTTCAGATGTGCTAAGGGTCTCCGTCATGACGACTTTAAAGACTACAACTCTTTTTTGGTCATGGTGTGTACGAGTTACCATCTTGATATTTCGCTTAAAGATTTCGTAAGAGCTGTTTCGAAACGATAAGTGTGTTTGTGTGGAACCAGTTTATAACTAGCAGCCACTCCCAATTGAAATAGTTTTGTTTATCGCATTTGTTTACATCAGTGCCTCGTTAGGATAGTCCAGCGGCAGCTTGGCGTTGTTGCTATGCTGGGAAGAATGTAGTTTGATGACGTAATTGATGTTTTCTAGAACATAAATTTAAAACGACTTGAAATATTAATTCTCGGTTACATTGATAATCTCTACACGGGACTAAACGAAACATAAAATGTTGTGAAGTTAAGAAATTAAAGAGAGTGGTTGAATATTTTATTCCAGTCCAGCTTTCTGAACCACCATCGAAGCCGCAAATTGTAATTATCACCGTCGACAAATTCCTGGAATGTACAGGCAAATAAACATTATTTACGTTATATTATTTTATGACAAGCCATTAAGCAGGAGTCGTCACTGGACGAAATTTACAGTTTTTGAGGCGATGACTTCGAAGAACATAAAATTGTGGGTTGTTGAAAACAAAATGCAGAGGATATAATTTGTACCTTAGAGAAAAGTAACATAAGACTGGAGAATATGAAATATGGTAATCAGGAACTTAATAATTTGTGCCTTTCTCCAAATATTAGTGATATTAAATCAAGAAGAAATTGTTGAACACGTTGTATCTATGGGCGACGTGAGAAATGTGTACCAAATTTTAGTAGACATCTGAAGGAAAGAGACCGCTTGGGAGATGTATACATGGATGGGACGATCGTATTAAAATAGGTCCTAGAGAATCAGAGAGTAAGAGTATGGATTAGATTCTACTGGCTCAGAATAGCTGGGCTGTTGTGAACATGGCAATGAATGTTTTCCTTTGTATAAGGCGTGCTGTTTCAGTCTCTCGTCCTTCAATTAATTCTGTAGTCGTCAGTCGAGAAATCTGACTCGGCAATAAACAGGAAAACAAAATAATTGCGTTCCATCCACATCTCTTCAAGAAGTTGTCCTTGTTTTTGAAGAGACCGGTTTCATATTGTTTTTCCACTCTCATGGCATAGTCCGTGTCTGATTTTAAACCCAATTACATCGTGATATTTGTCCAGCGGAGACTTGTTCACCAACTTCGTGTAGTTCTGTGCGTTAAAAATTTCGAAGCCGTCACTCGTTTATCCATGAATTATTTGCCTTTATCGATATATTTAATCAAAACTATAAAATGAACTCAAAATGAAAAGTAATGGGAAAACAGAAGTTAAACAGTTATATCGATACATAGGAAACAAATTTGGGCCACTGAATAGTATTATTTTGGAGAATTCTGCTATAATTTCAATATTAGAACCTCTTGAAGATGGCTATGTTCTAGGTTGTTGCGCCTTGTAGTCTGGTAGAACTTTATCGGAGTTTTACAGGTCCTTGCTGCCCCGATGATGGAGGCAGCAAGGACCTCTGAACCGTCGGTAAGCTTATACCAGACTACGCTGCGTAACAACCTAGAATACAGCCATCTTCAAACACACCGCCGTGAAAACGTCAAATCCTCTTCTTTTTCAAGTATTTATGGATTAGGCCTTCTGCCATATTAAAAAACAGCAGAATTTTGAAATTTTTGTTTTTTTTGTTTTTGTATTTGGTATGAATGGAGGATGAGGCTGTTCCAAGGCGAATTTTAGACGCAAGTGACGGTTTTAAAAATTGTCTTTACTCTAAAAGATGTATATTCGATAGATCGAAGTTGCAGTGACATGGCCCCTGAAGAGATCGACCTTGATGAAGGGTCAACTCATACCTGGACCAATCACAGTTCAGAACGGGACCACACCTTCCCGCAGAGGGCTTTTTAACGGGCAGGTGCGCAGTGCGGAGCACAGTTACTTCTTCAGAGAGCGCTTCAGTTTGACCAGCAAAATGGTAAGATGTCTTGCAGGCGGAAATATTACAAGTGTTGTACTGTTGCATCTTGTTACATTATTACACATAATTAACAATGAACGTGTTAAGCGTAAGATTCACACTGTAGATCGGTTTAAATGTATTTTTATAAAAAATAATTAGTTTTTTGCACCCAATTTAATTTAATGCAGTAATCATAAAGAAACTCACTTCTCAGAAATTGGCTGCATCTCACATCAGCTGCTGTATCACGTTTTCCAAACGGATTTTGCCAAAGCTTATTGTTATGAAGTGACTGTCATACTTTCTAAGATTTTGTATTAAAAACGGGTGATATTATTAATAGTATGGTTCTTTATCAGTTTTTAATTTTTCATGCATAAGATAATGAAAATATTGTGTCAGAAATAAATGAATGGATTAGTGACTAAATACATATATGCTGTAGATTAAAATAAACATCGTATTTAAAATGTTTTGGGTTCCATATTTTATGAATTTACTAATTCATTTACTGTAACTACTATTTGGTATGGGGAAGTCAAGTGGGGCTACTCCAGATTAAGTTTAATGCATGCCTTAACACCTTGAAAGCACCAATCGGAGTTTAGGACACCCTGTCTGATTTAATTATTCAGTAATATTACATAAAATAGTGTAATTGCGTCATATTGTGAATATTATATCAATTATTTGTTTTAATCCGTCTGATCACAATATAATTTTTATTTAAAATTTCTTATAATTAAGATAATAAAATATCATTCATGTTCCATATCGATTGATCGATTTACATTTCGGAATCAATCGATCAATCGATATGGAACATGAATGATATTTTATTATCTTAATTATAAGAAATTTTAAATAAAAATTATATTGTGACCAGACGGATTAAAACAAATAATTGATTCAGTAATATTACGTTTATGCCTTTTGGTGTACCTATAAAGTATGTTCTGTTGGTGTGAATAACTTATAGCTAGTTTGTCCTTTAGAAGAGGAGATACTACCCCTGTAATTTTCTGATTATAGTGATGAATTGGTATCTATAAGACTCATATGAATCACGCTGACTGATTTAACATTAATTTCACTCTCTGTTACAGACAACTTACACAAACAAGGGACCAAAGGTAAGACGAGTTGGTAAAAAAAACCTCAGTCAAGATATGTGGCCTCCGTATAGAATCGAACTGAGGACCTTCTGAATATGAAGCAGGGCTTCTGCTACTCTACCGAGAATAGTCTTACAAGAGACACCTAACTCTGTCTTGTTTTACAGCCTGATAAGGGGCGCTTCCTGCACTTTGACCATCTCACCTTCTGGGTTGGAAATGCAAAACAGGTTAGGTTAGGTTAGGTTAGGTTATGTTATGTTAGGTTAGGTTAGGTTAGTTAACCCATTTGGATATTGTCGGTCCATTTAAGTGACAGTGGCTACTTTGATGTGTGAAATAAAATATTTTCCCTGTATTTAATTAAATATATAATAGATGAGAAAATGCTTGAAGTAAATGTTTTTGAAATTTATAAGATCTGTATATGTCATGGATTCTGTGCACAAAGTTCATAAATTGAGGCTGCGTCTGTCCATCCACGTTTTATCTGTGAAACTACTTAACTGATTTTGGTTACAACTGACGATGGTCTGCGTCACAGATGTTGGTGATTACGTTATATGAAACAGTCTTTCAATAAATATTTTTTTTATTTTCTCAAAACTGACTGATTGTACAAAACATTTATACACAAATGCCTCGTAAAAATCTACAACTTTTAACTGAAGCAGTTTTCAATAAGTGAATTATTAATGGAATGCAAAGAAAATAATATCTGATTCTATGGATAGCTGTGGAACACATTTTTATATGCAAATGAAAGGAGTTATTGCTCTGTCATTAACTGGAGAAAATATTTAAAAATACTGAAAAAAATATTATGATAGAATGTGATAAATAGTTATTTGAAGAAAATAAATAGCGATTAGTATTGATAATTGAAATAATTTTTATTGAAAACATACTGACATGATTGAATATTCATCAAAGATTTAAATACTGTGTTTTATGGGTGGTGATAAGTTATAATAGCTAGAAGGTAAATAAAGGAGATTAATGACATAAAATATGGAACAAATATTGGAATTCCGCATAAAGTAACGGTGATGCTGTTCACCCAGCTTGATCTAGGTGCAATTATAAGTCGCCATGTTTCCATGTGCAGGCTGCAAGCTACTACTGCACAAGGCTTGGGTTTGAACCCATGGCATACCAGGGTCTGGAGACGGGTTCCCGGAAGGTTTCAGCTCATGTGGTCCGACAGAATCAGGTAACTGGCTCTACAACACACTAGCCCATGGTCTTCAGTGTGAAAGTAAAGTCATCCCTGTCTCTATGGGTTGCCTCTACTATCTCAGGTTATATCTTACAAGCTTCAGAAGCGCCAGGACAATATCACTGTACTCCACTCTTGTTATATGTTGTATATGAATATTGATGGAGATGCTGGTGAGATATGTTGAACTTTGGGCAGTATCTTAGGGCAGAGTACAAAGTAAAATGGCTAGTTACAAGCTCGGTGACTGGCATGCAATCTCTTGTATGATTTGAGGTTTACACGGCGGTGAGTATGAAGATTTCTATCTTCTGGGTTGTTGCGATGAATCTCCTTGATGACTGATCTCAGAAACGTTGGTAAACATCCACCAGACTACACAGCGCAACAACCCAGAAGACAGAAATCTTCATTGCCCTGATGACGGAGGCAGTATGACCTCTGAAACGTTGGTAAACATCGACCAGACTACACAGCGCAACAACCCAGAAGACAGAAATCTTCATAATCATTGCCCTGATGACGGAGGCAGTATGACCTCTGAAACGTTGGTAAACATCGACCAGACTACACAGCGCAACAACCCAGAAGACAGAAATCTTCATAATCATCGCCCTGATGACGGAGGCAGTATGACCTCTGAAACGTTGGTAAACATCGACCAGACTACACAGCGCAACAACCCAGAAGACAGAAATCTTCATAATCATCGCCCTGATGACGGAGGCAGTATGACCTCTGAAACGTTGGTAAACATCCACCAGACTACACAGTGCAACAACCCAGAAGACAGAAATCTTCATGTAATCTCTTGCTGGAGAAGAAAATTTTCTCTTATCACCATGTGTGTAGCCAAACCATTATCCTAGCCTGTGTTTAGTGGGCGTAAATCAGCTGGAACATTGAGCTAACATCTTGCCCTCATGCTGCACATATTGGATGTGTGGAGTTCTTCCTCTGTGCTTCCTGTATGCAGTCATTACGTAGTATGTAAGCACAGAGATAACTTTGCCATAAGTTAGGGCATGGTGCTCGTCATTCTCTTTCTGTCCGCTTGATTCAAAATGGTGGTAACAAGAAATTAATTTCTGAACAGCTTCTTTATGGGAAAGTGTTAATGAATTCATAGTGTCTCTTGTTATTTCAGATTGTTTTTGTATTTACTTCTGCATATGAGCCGGATAATGATGAAATAGGGCGACACTTGGTTCGGCACGGAGATGGAGTGAAAGATGTCGCATTCACTGTTGAAGATCTTGATTCCATTGTTGAGGTGAGTCGATGCTGCCCGCTTCTTCACATAGCATTGCTGGGTTGGTGAAATTAAAAAGGATAAGATGGACTGGATGTCTAGCTCAGATGGGAGACACTAGAAATGCATATACAGTTTTGGTGGGGAAACTGTTAGGAAAGTGACCATTTTACTATCTTATCAGATATGATGAATTTGAGGAATATAATACAATTCATAGTCATAGCTTATAAAATCATAGATTCCTTTAAAAATTTAGGCCTGTATATTCATTCCAGTCTTTCAGTAAATATTAGTTTTTTTTATCCACGCACACAACCACAATATTTATTACTCATTTGTCTATTTATGTGTGAAGGAGATTTCTCATTTGATTGAATAATTCATTAATATTTTCCAATCATATTGGTGCTTAATTAAGTACAGAGCTGTTACCTTTACCTTCCATAAAAGTTGAACATATGAACTGCCTGCCAAACATAATTTTGCTAATACGTAGCTGCTCTTATCATCATTATCGTTGAGATAGTTCATCTTTGAAAACAAGTTTTGATTTCTTCAATAATGATCAGGATATTTATTATCTTTACTAAGTTTAAGTTACATGTAGTTTGTGCATAAATTTCAATGTTACTTCTGTTTTAAATAGAATCTAGGCTGTTTGGACCACATCTTGTCTGTAGCATCACGTTTTAATCAGTCGTGGATTGTATTCATCTGTGTCTATGTGATGGGATGTAATACAAATTTAATTTTGTTTTTAATGGCTCTACTTCATGGTCTTAGACTGTGATACATACATGGAGGTATTATTATGCAGATATATTTGCTTTTCAGAGAGCAAAGCAACATGGAGCAAAGATTATAAAAGACATTTGGGAAGAAAGTGATGAGGGTGGAACGGTACGATTTGCGAGGGTACAGACGGTCAGTATCTTGTCCTTCATAAATTATATTAAGCTCTGTAATAATACAGGACTTTTCAGTCCTGAAACCACAAGTCGTTAATAATCTATTAAAGGTTATCCAAGCAGAGAGAGAAAAATTGTTGACAAAAATAATTTTTAAATTATATTTATTGAACAGTCACAAGTGAAGTCAGTGATATAAAATATTTCTAAATCTGTTGTTGAAGTAATTATTTAATATTTAATTTTTAATTTTAGTATGGTGACACCACGCATACGTTTGTTGAGCGTTCTGATTATAATGGATTGTTTCTGCCTGGTTACAAGGAACCATTGCAGGAGGATGTTCTTTGCAAGAAATTGTAAGTATCTGTATTAAACATGTCTGAATCAATACAAATTAGCATTATTTACACATGACCTTATCACAAAACAAAGGAAAAGATAAATCGAAAACTGTATAGCCGGAACAGACAGAACTGTAATACGTAAAAGGAATATTATATCTTCCTGAGGTCTAATGAATGCACCATAGGTCTGAAAGTCTCAAAGTTTTGATTTGCTCTGTATTTGTTTTTATTATTTCATATTTCTAAAGTGAGTAATTTTACTTTGATTTATTTTTAAATTAGTATACATTATGTACAGGCCACCAGGAAGGCTGGATTTTGTGGATCATGTGGTTGGGAATCAACCAGACCAAGGCATGGTGCCCACAGCAGACTGGTATGTGTAATACATCAGTTAGTTCTTAATTAATGAGCTATCTAGCTAAGTAATCAATCAATCAACCAACAACCAGCCACTGACTCCACTAAGAAGAGATCTCAAAGATGAGTTGACAGTTGCTTAGCTGGTCAATATATTTCCCATTCTTTTTGAACCCAGACTTTCTTTATAGTGTTCATAACAACCTGGACTAAATTAATCCAGTCCACATCCTCGCACTCAGTTTTCTTAAAACCCATTTTAATATTACGCTATAATTTACACATATTTTCCAAGTGGTCTCTTCCCTTCAAGTTTTTTGATTAATCTCCCCCATTTGTGCTGCCATGTGTTACGCATAGTCATTACTTTAATTAATTAGAGCTTACATGTTTTCTGGAAAATATAAATTAAAATGTTAAAGAGTCTAGTGCGGTGCTGAGACTTGAATGTTTTCTTCATTCCAGGTATGAAAAGAACCTTATGTTCCACAGGTTCTGGTCTGTAGATGACTCACAGATCCACTCGCATTATTCTGCCTTGAGATCCATTGTCATGACGAACTGGGAGGAGACAATCAAGGCATGGCACAATTAATTCACATATTTTATTCTGCAATTAATTATACCTGTATCCATGTCTGCCTGTCACTTTGTGTTTACGTTATTAGCTTTTTTGAATTGGACCACTACACTCCTCTGACAAAAGTCTCAGCTTCAATATTGGCAAGAACCAGTGTAGACTTTTGGTGAAATATGTTGAAGCACCAACTTTTTCTCTATAGAATGAATAAATTTTGTGCAGATTCCAATAAATGAACCAGCACCAGGTAAAAAGAAGAGTCAAATTGAAGAGTATGTAGACTATTATGGTGGTGCAGGAGTGCAGCACATTGCCCTCAACACACAGGATATCATTGGTGCGGTAAGTCCTTTGCAGCTCCCGATTATACACAAATTCATCATCAAAGCTGTGCGGTAAGTCCTTTGCAGCTCCCGATTTTCCACAAATTCATCATGAAAGCCGTACCCAGTAACACAATATGAAGTTTTATGTATTCTGATGTAAAAGTAAAGTAAAGTTTGTCCCACTATACGCCATGTAGGCGTTTGGGGTGAGTGGAGGTATAGCTCCTCTCTTCCTTGACCCCGGCACTAGATGGGGGTGAGTGGTCAGCATCACGCCCCGGCCGGCTTTACCCTCGGGAAAGGACCCCGGTACCCATTGTATAGGAGGCTGGGTGGGCCCCAGAGCCGGTCTGGACGCAGAGGCTAGAGGAAAAATCCTCTGCCTCCATCGGGGATCGAACCCCGATCGTCCAGCCCGTAGCTAGTCACTATACTGACTGAGCTATCCCGGCTCATATGTATTCTGATGTAGTTTGTGGTTATGTTGTTTGTATTCAAACTAAATGAGCTTTCTTTTTATTTAAACTTGACTTTGTTCGTAACAAATAAAACTGGAGCAATTTTCGCAGATTCGCAACTTGCGCGAGCGTGGACAAGAATTCCTTCAGGTTCCTGATACATATTATGAAATTCTCAGAGAGAGGCTGAAAGCAGACAAGGTGAATTTAATTGAGGACCTGGATGTGTTGCAGGTATGCATGCCAAAGATCAGATCTATAACATGTTTACAAGTTCTTGTAGAGTCTTCAAGGTATAGCATTTTGTAAAGATGATAAAGATTAATTCAGAGGAAATTTCTGTCTCCTACAGGGTAAAATTTATGGGTCCTAGTGTGTAGCTATAGTTCATAGAACCAGAGGGTATTCATCCATGGATATGCTATTAATTCTGGAATTGTATTTTAAAAATATGAACACAGATGTCAGCACTACTGTTATGAGAAGACATCTGGTCTAAGTAGGGCCTCTCTGCCTAGATTACTGAACGTGTAGGATGGTTGAATATTATGTCAGACAGCGAAAAATTAGTATCACTGTGTATATAATTCAGTTCAGTTCTTAAACTCTCATTTGATTATATATATAGGAACTGAAGATACTTGTGGACTATGATGAAAATGGGTATCTGCTGCAGATCTTCACAAAGAACATGCAAGATCGCCCGACTCTGTTCCTTGAGGTCATTCAGAGGCACAATCACAATGTAAGTCACATTAAAAATTACCAGTTTCTGTTAAATATAACATTAATTGCATTTTGAGAATGCCCATGCCCATCAGTGCTTAGGAATTTTTCTGCAAGTTTAAGGTCTTGCTGGGTTAAAGATGTTAGAAAGACATTACAGGCAGAAGTTTATATCTGTAGTGGACATGTTGAAAGGAAGGAAATATTTCCTAAAGAGAGTATTATGGTTAATGAGGGGAAAAGGGAATGTTGAATGACCTTTAAAAGTTATGGATTGGTAAAAGGGAGATTTTAATCCTCCGAGTTGACAATTGTGAAATTTAGTGGAGTGTCAGCTTTTCTACTAGGGTGGGATCTAACACTCAAGTACATGAAACAGTGAGTTTAATAATGTCTTATCTTAACCTTTTATTACCTGTATTTTTCATAAATTTGCCAAATAAGGGGTTAATTTTTTTTATAAATTGCTTAACATTTTTTCAGGGTTTTGGAGCTGGTAATTTCAAGGCACTATTTGAGGCTATTGAAGTGGAACAGTTTCAGCGTGGGAATTTGTGAATTATGGTTTTAAGAAGGTAATTTTTCAGTCACCAGTCACATGAATGTGAATTAAATTCTCTCTTATTCTATTGTGTATTATGCATAGGGACCTGAAAAGACATTTTCCAGTTTTCACAGTCATGACAGAAATGGGTCGGTAGCATGACTAAAACTGTATAATGGCAGGGGTTTAGTCTAAACAATTTTGTTTTAATCACAAATCTAGACATCTTGGTTTTAACAAAAGTTTTTTAAATTTATTTTTTACTTTATCATCTCAAATGTTGCTCTGTGGGTGCAGGATATTAAATCATTCGATCTAATAATTCTCCTATAGTAGGCAAACTCCTTAAATGCTTTGTATGTAAACTGAAATTGGGCACTTTTGCTCAATGCTACTGAGTATCATTGTCTCTGTCCTTGTAGAAATTTAATTGTCAAACCGTGTCTGTAAAGGCATTCTAATAGTTCCTGCTATTTCCCCAACTCATAACACTCATTAAAGGGTAAAGTTGTAGGAAGTCTAATTTATTTTATATTTGTAAACGTACTGAATGCCTATAAAGAACTCTTCTGCTGAAAGTATATACATTTCTTCATAGTCTGATACTAAAAAGTCTGCAGAGCTTATGATTCTGTAAGTTGCTCAGTGAAAGGGAACACAAATTACTGTCACTATTTGAGGTTCCTTCAGAATATTTAGATGTCCACAATTTTTGTGACCTCCTAGGGATAAACACCGATGACCACAAAGAAATATACGTTCAGTAATAGGTTTCATGAGAAGATTCTGCTGTTTGTAATGATATAAATAATAATGGTGAACAAGATGGTAATGTTCAGGATTTTATTTGACAAGACATGTAAAATCATAGAGGTTAAAGAATGTATTTGACAGGCTGTTTTGTTTCCCATGGTGTACTGAAATGTTGGACATTTGAGTTGCTTTTAAACAGAGAAGCTGTTACTGAAGAATCAGACTGGCACACTGAGTGTATGTGGCAGGGGTGTGATATTCTGAAGAAATCAACCCATGATCGCTTAAACTTTTAAGTCACCAAGTGCAGAACTACAATTGACCGTCTAAGATAACCTAGGAAAATCAAGTGATGATCCTATTATATTATAATAGGGGGAATCACTGATATCTTTCCCATAAGAAAATGTTCTACACGGCATGGCATGTAAACCAACGTTTTTCTACTAGCTAGATTAGTTTTAATATCTAAGAACAGTTCAGTATAATTATTGTAATAAATACATTTTTTACAAGTTTATTTATTTAAATCTTACAATTATGCATGAAGTAATGTAAAGATAAGTGAATTTCCGCGTCATCTGTTGGGGAGGTATTAAATTAGGGGGCTCCTGAACATTTTCTGACCCATTTACCTCCTTGGGTATCCTGTAACCCGGATAGAAACATCGAAAACTCAAAGTTATGTGACCTGATTTGCCCTCTATTGGCAAAGACATGAACCAATAGAAAGATAAGTGAATTGCCTCGCCGTCTATTAGCGAGGGCATGAACTAATGCAGATAAGTAAACTGCCGCGCCGTGTATTGGCGAGGGCATGAACTAATGTAGATAAGCAAACTTCCGCCATGTACTAAATAGCACATTCATTGTAAGCTGCCGATTACGGGTGAGGTTTAAACTACGTAATGAGGACGATCGAACATTACAGCACAAACTGCGGTGACGAGTAACATGATTGAAGTATGAGAGGAGTAAGTCAAAATATTTGGTGAAATTGTGTCTTTGCATACTAATTTAAGTTATTGTTCTTGTACGTAATTATAATTATAATAATTAATAGTCCGTAAATGCCTCGTATTTCACCATAACACGTCCTTATCCAATTTAATACACAGACGGCAGACGTGATGAGCAATCGAAACGCGATATTTTATGACACCCCGGGAGTATATTTGCCGGTTCTTGTTTTCTTTCTAAAGAAAAACCCAGAGGAAATATATATCCTCTGTAACATATTAAAATCGCACTTAAAAACTAAGACTCGATGACTCATGTTGGGTACACTGCTGCATAATCGGCTTTTTACACCCTTATCAGTGTCGTATTGGACCTATCACATTTGTTTGTTGAGGAAATGCGTAACGAAGGATCGGTACAGGCAGTTCCGACATTCTTTTTTTATCAACATAAAATTCAGATGATTCAACGCTTGAGGCCCGCTGCTATCAACAAGAACACTATATAATGCTGCTGTGTTTAAAATACTTAATCAGAGGTGACAAATTACTGTAGTACATGTTAATATATCAATTTTATTCAAATGTGCATGAACTACTGTACAGTTATTTTAACTTCACTCCTGAAACAGTTTGTATCTGACACAATTTTATGTGAAATCTTGCATTTTACTGCAGGGTTTGAAATTTAACCAACAGACGAGATAAAAATCACGACTTTTTAAAAATACTTCTGAGTAAAGAAATGACTAGTAATAAATTAACGAATAATTTTTCGGGCCTGGTTGCCGGTGGCCCGCCAGTTGGCCACACTGCTTACCACACAGTTCTTTGGTAAACATGCTGAAGATGAACTGGGTTGCGTTTCAAAGGAGCAAAAAGACGGCCAACTGCTTAGTGTGATTACACAATGAAAATTTCTTGCATATTTCATCATTCACTTTCTAGCTTGGTCTCTACTGGATCTTGCCTTAAGCCGTCTGACATACTTACTGTTGACACTCCTTTCGCGACCGTCGGTTTACTTTGCACCTGCAACCGCTTCAAGTACAGAGGCGACACGTTCTTCCGAAACGTTAAAACCTAACCTATACACCTGGAAGAATACCCGGTCCGACTAGCCATCAGACCACGGCTGACACTTTTACCGCCGTGATAACCTCAGTTTTCATACGAACAGAGCAGACATTACACAGCACATATACAAATTACTATTTACTTTCAAATGAATGCTATTGTTCTTAATCAGAACTACGTAGGCCTTACAATATTTATGACAAATGCCAATTGTTTATGTGATCAGTTGTTTTAAAGAGCATGGATACTACATTCATCTAGATCAGAATATATTTCGTGATCTGTCGGCATTGGACCAAAATATTTCACATCGTTACCATTCTGAATTTGTTCTGATTCATATGGAATTAATCTGCCGTAATCCTTTGAAGCCGAACCTCGTCTAAATAATATTTAAGAATGTACCGCAAAGAAAACACAACACTTCTCCATTAGAAAGATCAAAGTGCCATCTGTGAATATCCCATGATTTCACAGAGAGTTGTGTTAGTCTGGTCCACATCCAGGAAGTCCAAGGCAAGTATTTTGGTTCACTTTTACATTGAGTCCAGCTCACCACTCTGTCCAAAAGAGCGGATATGGGGGGATTTTTACGTCTAAGACTCAAGACGTTATAGATAGAGCAATAACCACGGATTCAGAAGATTAAAAACAACTTTTTGTGTTTCATATAACAATGACTTATAGTAGTAACAAAGCTACAACACAGTTAATGTTAATTTGAATATGGTAATGCACAAGAATTGTCTTCGATAGGCACCAGTTAAAATATAGTCTTGACAGTGTCAACTACTTTTTATCTTTTTACGTATCGAAAATTGCCGTCTTCTGAGTTCTAGTCTGGTAGAACTTAACCAGAGTTTTATAGGTACCTGTTGCCTCCATCTTCAGGGCAATGAGAGTTGGTAAACTTCGCGGCGCTACAACCAGAGAACATCTGTCTTTATACTCGTAACCGAGAGAACCCCCAAACCTTACACTGATCGTCTTCCAGTCTCATTCAACACTGTATGACTCATGTATATTAAGCAGCGTCGTTAAATACGCAAAGAACCGATCAAACAAGAGCTATGCGTCCCATAGGCAATTTCCGCACTTGGATAATATGAAAGACGTGTAAGAAGAACGTAAACAAACCGGCCACTAGATCTAAAAATGGAAAGACGGAAATGTAGTTCAGCTTGCCTTGGGTGTACACTAAAAATAAGCTGTGCCGACTGGCTCCGTGAACACACGATACATTTTGTTGTAAATAAATCATGCTTCAGTTCACGTCCTAGTTAATTTGCGGTGTAATGTATTGGCGTGAATGTACGTAATTACAAATGGCCTCTCTCTGTTGCTCTGGTAGCAGATTTGCATCAATATGTAGCAGTTATTAAGTGTTTTTAACACCTTAGCATGCGCGAAGAACACTTAATGTCTGTTCGAATTGTTCAACTCCAGTATTTGAACCAGTTGTTAGGCAACAATGGGATCTAATAACTCTAAATGTTAGAAGAAACAGCGTATCAATGGCACCTCAGATCACATCAGGGCAAAATAGACCCATTGCACAGTGTGACTATAATTTCAATGTAAGTTTCATTTGGAAGAAAACTTCGTGCAGAGTCCCACCCACCGACTTTACGAAATATGAGACATTACCTTCCGGGGATGCAGGTGGAGCAAGGCTTGGGGCCCATCTGTATGCTAAGCTAATTATATATTTTTCAACTTTATAATATTTTACTACCCTACTTAGCAGTAATAACCTAACCAGGCTGCCGCCCTATGGACGATAAATGTTAATAATTACTGGAATCTATATATGTCTATTGCTGATATAAACATCGATTATATTTTTTGGTACGCCATTGGTATAGAGGATATACTAAATAAAAGGGACCCACTTGAATGTTTCGCAGCAGCGCCCGTGACTAATTTCGCCGCCGAATACGTCATCTGTACCCTCTTAGTTTTGATTGTACCAAAATGTGTGCATATTTTTTTTAAATCCATATAATAATGAATGGAAACCCCTTCTAATCCAATTTGCTGTGTTTCCGTCATTGCTTATTCGCATGTAATATTTAGATGTCTAAAGCTTTGAAAATCTATTGCGTTTGGGGATTGATGCGATGGTAGCAAGGTATAAAACTACCCGACAAAGCAAGTTAATTTTTGTAAAAGAAAGCCTGCCATTACAAACTTGAATTTACGCACCGATCATTAGTCAGAGTTCTTCGAATTATTTAAGCAAGACTTTTGTAGGTTATATTTCTTAGACACATGATCATCCAGAAATGCATTAAGTGTTAAGAGTGATACAGTCGCGTTACAAATTTCGTTCCCATAAACCACATATAGAACGCTCTTTCATGCTTCATTTTTTAATTTCTTCTCTCTCTGTGACAGTGCTAGTAGTTTTGGGAATGGCCACAATTACTTTCTGATTGTTAATTTACATTTGCAGTGAATAAAATATCTACATCATATTGATTCCTTTATACAATAATGTGTTCATCGTTTGTTTTGTAGTCATACCTTATATCTAAATAAACATTTCAGAACTCTTATGAATATTTCTCATTTGAAACAAATATGAAGTCTACATTACATGTAGGGATGCCTCTTCAAATTGCGTCTTCGCTTACACTTGTAAGATACTATTTATTTTCCGTGTTCTGGTAACCATTCTTATTTACTAGAAATCTGACAAATATGATTTTGTCTAAAATTTGATAATGTAAGTTTACAAGTCTTTTTTGTAGCTGCTCAGGTAAGTCACTACGTCCCGCATTCAGAAGTGCAATTCTTACTAAGAAACGCTATTTGTTCATCGGTTGTTCCCGAAGTTTTTTTAACTGCCTTTTACCGACATTATACCTACGCCAATGTTAGTAGATACCTATGTATTACAAACATGTTATGAATATGACTGATTTATTCTATTGAAACATGCTCTATATATCTATACTGTAAAGCTATACTTAAAATGAATTAATTTTAGAACTGTATACGAGGGGAAAGAAAAAAACAAGTGGGGCATATTTGCATGTAGGCGGATTAATCTGTAGTCGAAGGCAACCAAGGAAATGGATATCGGAATGGCCTGTAGTGGGAGTAAATTGTGATCACAGTGTCGATTTCTTCGAAGTAGCATGCAAAAATCGATAGGTTATTACTGACAATGTATTTTTGGTTTGAGTACTCCTTTTAAAATATTTATTGGTCTTTTAATATATCATTGCTGCAGTAATATATGAACTTTATGTTTATAGGTGAGCAGCCAACGACTGATCATATTCATGAAGGCCTAATGTTAAAGTGGTGATAATAGTGTAATTGAAAGAAATAGGACCATACTATTGAAAGGACTGAACATGGAGGCTATTGCGAAGCATGACTTCAATGCTACAGCAGATGATGAACTTAGTTTTAGGAAGAACCAGGTGCTAAAGGTTTGTGAAAATAGTTTAAATATCGCCCTTATGTAGGTTATGTTTTTTGTAAATTTTGTACGTTTTTACGTTGGTATAATCAAATGAACTTCTAGCTGAAAGATTTTATTGTGTTATGTGCATGGGATAAATTTATTTTTCTTACCTCTGTATCTTTGTTTCTGACAGATATTAAATATGGAAGATGATATGAATTGGTACAGAGCAGAGTTAGATGGTAGAGAAGGTTTAATACCTAGTAACTACATAGAGATGAAGAGTCATGAGTAAGTACTGTACAATTATAATTACATATTCTTTCATGGGAAAATGAAATCAGTTCAGTACAGGTATGTGAGTACTAAAAGTTTTTTAGGTTGTGTTATTATGAAGGAACTAAAAGCAGTTTATATTTTGAGTATGATCTGGGGTTATTTTGAATCCCACAGTATCCCTTGATTTGTTGGGTTATGTTGGACAAGCTCAGCAGCTGCAGGGCCCAAATTATATCTCACTCTTTGTTGAAAAACCTTTAATTTCTTCATAATCATAAAAGATACAGTAGCAGTTCAGCATTTAAAATAGTGCTAAAATAAAATTAATAGTAGTTTGATTAACCATTCCATAAGTGGCTGTGACATACCCCAGACTATGTCGATTGTAGCAGAACTAAAATATTTCTAATGGGTTAAATTATTGGACTTACCCAGATCATTTTAATCTTATCACTTGTCACACAGTTCAGATTTAAGTTGTGATAACTAAACTTAACACAGACTTTCTAATAATTTTTGATAATGTATTTGTCAGTGTAACACAGAAAAGAGTAATGATGCGACTTTTCCTACATTAAGGTCATAATTATAAACCATTCTTATGTAAGAAAATGTAAAAGCATTATACCCAGCTCTGAACACTGTTTGTTTCAGCTGGTATTATGGTAGAATCACAAGAGCAGATGCAGAAAAGTTGCTATTAAACAAACATGAAGGAGCATTTCTAATACGAGTTAGTGAGAGTTCGCCTGGAGACTTCTCTCTCTCTGTAAAGTAAGTTGCTGGGTAACGACTGTACCATACTGTGAAACTTACTGAAACATGTATGTTTGTTATTAGACCCACCATACATAATGGAAATTAGACTAATTTATGTAGCATTTTGGATATGACATTTGACTTAATTTCATGTGTGTGCATTGGCTTTAGTCCATCCACATAAAAGACTAATCTTCCTCTTCTAGAGGCAGCTATAAAAACCCATTCTTGTTGGTCTGCACAGTGCTGCTGTGTAGTGCGAAGTTGTAATATAAATGTCACATGACTGCCATGCTTTTCAAAGTTTCATATTTTAAATGTGAGTTTGCAATTTTTGCAACCTTTCTGAATTTTAAGCAATAATAAGATTGTGAGGAAGTGTTGAGTATTCATAGGTATGTTGACATTTTAGTGGGATATTTAATTTGAAATTAATAAGTAATTTCTGTTCTGAGGATTTTGTGGGCACAGTGTGGAGGTGTTTTATTGGAGCTTGACTGTATGTGTAGTACGCTGTGCTTTTTCCTGATATTTTTATACTGTTCTGACCAACCAAGGAAAACATAATTGTACATTCTGTTTTGGAAACAATGGGAATGGTTCTACGTCTGTTTCACAATTCATACTCAAAGCAAGTTGTTAAGTCACAGTAGTTTTGTAAGATTTAATTATCATTCTATATATCAATTACAATTTCTTACATTTACTGATTGACTTTTTCTATTTTTGTTTTTAGATGCTCGGATGGTGTGCAACATTTTAAGGTTCTTCGTGATGCACAAGGAAAATTCTTCCTGTGGGTTGTTAAATTTAACAGCTTGAACGAGTTAGTAGAATATCATCGGACAGCTTCAGTTTCAAGGTCGCAGGATGTGAAGCTTAGAGATATGGTTCCTGAAGAGGTAAGATTGTACTTAAAATGGCTGTCTTCTGGGTTATATAACTGTAGAAACCTCAAATCCTACTAGCTCAGATTTTGTCTGTATCTGTGACAATGTTTGGGAGGCAAATTGTTTAGGAACTTAAAGAGGTGATGATGGATCCTGAATGTGGTATTGCTTTGAACATTTCAGTGCTTGGTTCAGGCTCTTTATGACTTCACACCACAGGAGCCAGGGGAATTGGAGTTCCGAAGAGGCGACGTGATAACGGTTAAGGAGCGTACAGATCAGCACTGGTGGCACGGAGAAATTGGCTCCCGTACAGGATTATTCCCAGCCACTTATGTCACTCCATACCATGCTTAAGAATGTGAACCATTATGTTGCTCATAAACTGTAAGTGGAACATCTTGGAAAAGAAATTGATCGGTAGAATATGATCCCCATTGAAATAATGTCATATGATATCCGTCTTCTCGAGATGCACCGTGTTCCAAGAGACTTAATATGCTATAAAACACCATGCAGATTATCATTGTGCAGTTTAGTGTTCTCTGCATCCTCTTAAAAAGAAATTCACAGGAGTAATAGATTGTCTGAACTACATCCCTGACATTAAAACAAGACTTTGTTACTTTAATATGTGTTAAGGAAATGTAGTTTAATCTTTATTGTTAAAAAATTAAAGGAATAATTTTAGGAAGATTTTATCTGTGTTTATTACCTGTTTGATTAGTTATAGGTCATACTTTCTTGACATTCAGGGATGCCATATTGCATTATGATCCAGCTCCAGTAATGGATGCTTGGTGAAACTGAAAAATTAATACACATATATCAGTTTTAATTCTTGATCACGACAGTTATAAGATGTAATGGGTTTTGCATTTAGCGGACATGAGTTTATGTAGAAGGGACTGGTTATAGACTAAAAGTTTGCATTTTGCTGTTATAATGAATATACACAGTACTTAGATTGATTTTTTTTGCCCAGTTTACCAGTTTGCAAGGTTTGATTTACAGTATTATGATGATGGTTGTACTGGACACAGTTCTTTCTCCCTTCATTTTCATATTTCATCTCTAAAATTACTGAACAGGTTTTTATAACATACTGGGGGGGTTTATGCTAAAGGTTTGTGAGTGAATTTAGCAATAAAACTATTGAATTCATAAAAAAATTACCGACTACGCAGTGCTGTCTGTCATCAGCGGCAGATTTGCGTTTACAGTAAATAAATAACAAGACCAGTGAGAGGTGCAAAATTGCATACACTTCTGGAAAATATGAACCTCTCAACTACTGATATGCAGAGTGGAAATGTGACTGTATGATAAATGGATTTTTTAGCATAATTTTGTGGATTTGTCGCAAGACTTGATGTGCCACATTTAGTCTTGCACTTGGCTTAATGCATATTAGAAATGACAGTTTGTTATTACTTGTAGATGTGCGTAATATTTCCTTTTCGTAAACGATATAATTATAGCTTTTGAAATGCCTGTTGGCTCCTTTAAAATCCTTCCATGATAAACAATGAATTGTAAGATTGTGACCAGTGTCTTTTCAGTTCTTACTTGTACACAGATCTTTGGACCAGCACAGGACCGTCTCAGATTTGTTCAGTTTTATATAGTTGAAAGATAGTTGGAAGGATGCTTTAGTCTGAAAGATATTTGGTGAACTCGCATGTGCCCAATTGTGAAGAATAGTAATTTAAGAAACTCATGTATTCATGTACATTTTAAGTAGTAAAAGATGAAAGGTCATGAAAATAACACTTTCTACAAGCATTGTACTTGCTGGAGAATTTGTAGTCACTTCATAAACTGTAATTTTTATTCAATTCTAAAGGATTTTGACGACGGTAGTTTACACTTAAAATTATTTTTTGTCAGGACTTTTTCCGTTGTCTGTTATTTAATATGGTTTAGTGGATACCGATAACTGTCTGCAACACTTGTCCTAAGTTACCCGGTAGACTCTTATCTCTCAATAAGGACACCAGTAACAGGTCCTTTCCTGCTTATAGGACGCCGGCGGTAGGTTCATATTCTCCTGTACAGAGGACAGTAGTGGATTCTCTGGTGTTTTTATGATGTTTGGGTTTTAATGTCCTTTGATGACTTGGATGCCAACATTATTAGCAGGGATTTTATGTCAATTTTTATGTTGCTTCAGAACTGGCGCTTACAGAGCTGTATGAGCAGTCTTATAATTTTTATATTATCATTTAAGTATTATAATCCACTGACAGAAGCCATACTCGGGTGGATAAGTTGAAATAACTGCACAAATTAAATTGTCCAGTGACAGAGACTAGCTCTTTCTAAGGGACCCAACAGAGTAGGTACCTCTCACCTGAAGATGGAGGCAGAACCAGCCTCCAAAATGTGTGAATTTTAAGAATTTTAAATAACAGATGATGGAAAAAGTCCTGACAACAAATAATTTTAAGTGTAATTTTTATATACATTGCTTAAGTGTAAAATAAGTGAAGAAAATTGATTGTATTAAACATCATGAATATGATACACATCTGTGGTAAGTTGCCACTATAAATATTTCACAAGTGGAGCAATAAATGTATCTTGTTTTTTCACTTCAAGATGCTTATTTTTGGAAGAGGAAAGAATTGAAATGTATCTTCTTTTTTCTCTTGATTCATTATCATTGTTTACAGAAGCAGTGTTTGATCATGCATGTGACATAGAATGAGCTGTTTAACAAAGTCCTTGCTCTTTCCAGTTTTGTAAAGTTAGATTTTTGTAGTTAGCTTGTTTTGCTTTTAATTTTTATAAATTCACTTGTTACATACAAACTAATGAGATGTATAATTTTGATTGTGTTAGTTTTAAGTCTGTATATATTTTCTTTTTGCTGTTCTTGTTTTAGCATTTGTAAAGCAGAATGAACAGGATTCCTGTAAGAATTTATAACAACATATTTTCATTTCCTGGATTAGTAGATTTCGTTTTCGGCAGGGGTTCTTAGCCTTTTTGAGAATAAGGGCCAAATTCACTTATTGAATCACAGGCCACATGTTTATAAATAAGGACAATTTATCAAAATATTATGGTCATTAACATTGTTACTGACTTGCTATTGTAAACAGGTTCACATGTCACTCAGTAATTTTATTTTGTCTTTTGTGTGACATCTGATGCTGTATTTGTTACATAATCTTTCAATATCTGTTTTAGGTACTGTTGCTGGGATTCATATAGATCCCTCCAAGTTTATGTCAGAAAGATGCATCCTAGTTCTGAGTACAATATTAGGACATATTCTCTGATATCATAATCAAGGTTAACACAGTAGGTCATAAGAAATGTGTGTGGGCCACAACAACTCATCGGAGGACCACAGGCTGAGAGCTGCTGATTTTCTAGATTGCTTAGGACAAATTACAGTAACAATTCATATGCCCTGCAGTTTTATTAGTATTGTATTTTATTTGTACTTTGTAGAGTTGTCTCATGTAAAGTATAGTACATGTACAGCTGTACACAATGATTGAAACAAACTGGCAAGATGCCAGACTAATAGAACTGCAGTTGCGTGTTATATTTTGTACCTCAGATTTTTAATCTAGGACCAGCATGGCATATCTACAATTTCAGTACTTCTCAGGAAGCAAGGAAAACTGATTTGTTTTGTTTTTTTCAATAAATTCATGAGAGGACTTTAATGCCCCTGTATTTTCATCATCTTTTGCATGCCCTTGGAATCTGAGAAATTTTTTGAAGTTATTTAAGTAAAGGTAAATTAATTTGTTAGAAATAATTCTTATAGATTTGTTAGCTGTAATAGTTACGCAATTAAAACAGTGTGAGCTAACTTCAATTTTTGCAGTATGTGCTAGAAGCTTACATGGATTGAAAAAATATGTAAATATAAGTACTGCCAGATATTGATCATCGGTTCATGGCAGCTTTCACATGAGCATATGCTTTGTGAAATTTGCCATTAGCCCTATCAGTTTGTTCCTGTCAAGTGACTGAATTTTAAAGCCTTTATGAACAAAACAGGTAAAATAATTAAATAAAATGAAATTGAAAATTACAAAAGTCACAATTCTGTTTCCAAAAGGTCCAGTGTCATGTGAGAAGCTGAATTAAAGTAGGTTCCTTGTAGAAAGAAGTATTTAATCTCTATCAAGCATGCATAACGCTATTGGTCTGTTCCAGCCGGATGGGTGTCATAGTTAGCGTACCACTGAAGTAACCTTTTATTCCAAGCCAGTTTATGATAATGGAATTTTGTTCACTGCTTTGTACTGACTTCTGTTATACTTTATTGCTGTGAGTTATTTACAATTATTGACTCTATGGATGGCACTGTTAATGAGAAGGCATAATTTTTCAGTCATGTGGTAAAGGTGGTCTGAAGCCAGCCGAGATACTAAAGAGATGCAGAAACAAATAGTACACCACTGTTGTGTTGATGATGAGGGGGTTTGGCTGGGGGGGTTCCATAGATCAGCTCTCTATTAGAAGTGAAAATGGCTTGTGCTTTCTAGTCAGAAAGGTTGGAAAACTGTTTTTCTGTCAACAAAATATAATTTTCTTCCTATCGAAATGTTGCAGATTTATATCCGAGAATTTAAATCTGGTCACTAATCCCATAATATGATGTTTAAATATCCTATTTCTGTATGATAAAGGTTAGTGGCATATTTTGTTATTCATACAGTGCAGTGCAATTTATGTTAATACACTACAGATAATTATTATAAAGATGCTGTCATTGCTATTCATCACAGCCACTGGGATAGTTATCTCCAAAACTATTAATGGTGATGGAATTTAATATTGGGGGATCTGTTTTAAACATTCTAAATCAGTCTTAACTCCTTGGGGTTCTAACAGTTATGCTCCAGGGATTGGGATTAGACCCTTCTATCAGATGTGGCAGAATAGGTATTTTTACCTGAACATGAAAGTGGAGCCAGCTCCCAAAATGTTATGGTCTTGTCTAAAATATTATATTCTTTGTCAAATTTAACTTCTCTCAGTCCAGTATAAACCCTGCTATATATGAAACTGAAATGACTTCATCATTGTTCTCAAAAATCAAATGACTACATAATAAAATAGAGACTCTTTTAAACACATGATTTTTATTTTGGATATATTATTTATATGGTGTATTTTTAATGATATATAAGGAAGGAATTACGTGAACAAATTTTTACATGTAGTGTTTTAAGCTTTACAACAGGATATATGGGTCTGCAATAAACAAATTTAAGGCCAGTGTATTGTGAGAAATAATATGTTCTTAAAACTGTATGTACTCTAAATGTTAGTATTCCTTTCCATTATTTTTATTTTTGCAAATCTTGGTAAATGAGTTCTGAGAAAAGTGTTCAGTCCATACACTCTAATTTACTTTATTTTTTTGCATTTACACAATAATTTGAAGTAGGCCTACTTTTAGAATTGAGGTTAAGTATGTGTGGAGCAAAACCTTCACTCCCTCATATGTATGCATGGTGTAATGCTTACACACTAGGGACAACTTAACCTTACTTTCACCTACTGTTAACCAAGGTTGTGTGTTCTGAAACACTGGCCTATATGCAGCACAGTGACATGAAGAACTACCTACCTAACATTGTGGTAGCAGAACATGGGTTCAACACCTCTGATACAAAGTCCATTATTGGACATGTTCCTGAACCACATCTCGTCACCTCCCATGCTCACAACTTTATCTTTTAAAGGAAGAGATTATTTCTTTGTTTGGTTATGTATGCAGATGTTTGTACCAGGTTTATTGTTGGTTTAGTTAATATCCCCAGACCAAAATGTAATTGTATGATGAATTTTTGGTATTTATGTGCAGGAACAATTTGCTTGTTTGCACAGACTTAATATTTGTGACAAATGGGTGTACTGATTAAGTGAAAGAGACTGTAGGCTGAATCAGCAATCTTATATATTGCAAGACAGGACTGAGGTCTGAATCCAGTACAACTAAGAATTAAGATAACCCTTTCAAATGAGACTTAAGATAGAAAATAATGAAAGATTTATTTTTGTGAATGATTGAGTATTTACAGTTGCCTTAAGCTCTTAGTTAATCTTGTCCATTTTACTGCCATTGCTTTAGAACTGTTTTAAGAGGGATCCAGGTGATCACCTTTTACTTTGTATGTAATACACAATACATATTCCTTTACAATAATTTACTTCACTTTTTCCAGACAATTGTATTATAATTAAGTGTTCTAACTGCAATTTCATATAATATACAATACAGTAGTAATATATCTGACTCATATTTAGTACATGTGCTTTGATTCCTATCTGGAGAACAAGTATTCTGATTGAGGTTTTTGTGATTTTCCTATGTCCCTCTGTGCAAATGTCAGGCTGCCTTGTCAGATGATGGTAGTGGTGAAAAGTATGATTTACTTAACCTATCCTCCACATAACAGTATGCATGAATTAAGCATCAATTATGTAGTATCTTCATTCACAGACTGTACTTCTCTTTTGTGCCACGTAACATTTTCTGAGCATGTGAGTTAAGATAACTTGATTTTTTGGATACTAATATAGGAAATATCTTAGACCGTGTAAAACAAAATCCAGGATGACAAATTTTTCCTTAGTTACAACATAATATTATGGCATCATGCCAGAAAGACATATCGGGATATTTGCATATTTGATTTTTGTTTTGACATATACTTATCATACTATAGAAATTTCTCAGCAGCACCAGATTTTAGCTTGTTTCATTTCATGTGTTAGTAATGTCTGGTTTACACAATTTATGTATTTGTTATCCTTCTAACCGCAAAATAATGACATGGCCCCAAATATAGTACACAGTTACCAACATTTTACCTCCATCTTCAAGCTTGAAGCTGAACTATCTGGTTCAAAGAAGATAGTTGGAAACTTTGCTAAGAATACAGTTTTGTGGCGACAACACAAAATATGCTGTACCATGAAATTGGAAGTTTTACGTTAATTCCAAACGTTGGCACACTGCGCGATAAACTGGCATTGAAGTATTTGAAACACGCGGTATATCTTGTAACTACTATAATCACTTCGGCTTTTTAAATTGAATTTTTAGAAACAATAAATTTAATAGAGAACCATGACCATTAAAATTAAATTTATTTCTTTATTATTATAATTGTAATGGCATTATAGTTAATATATATCCAATATTTGGTGTTTTAATTGACTTAAAGCGCTAACATCCTGTAATCAGTAGTAACATCCTTTCCGCATGTGGATGACTCCCAGTGGCATTGAAAACGTATGTGCTTTGTAATTAGAAGTCTTTATAAATACACCAATAATTATAAACAGTAAAATGATACTTGATACACCAATAATTATAAACAGTAAAATAATAGTTATTTTTTATGCTTGTCACAATTTTACAGTGATTATGTTAAGTTTTCATTTCGGAATATTACTATGTACTTTTGAAATATGCAAAAAACACGTGGCCAAGGCTCGTGTTGCCGATTTAGATTGAATGCGTACACAGTTATGGGCAAGTAGAAGGTGGAAGAACTAATAATTTTATTTTTGTGTCTGTGCGTATAGGTTTATTCGTAACTCTGCAGAAACGTTAAGATGTCGGGAGGTCTGGAGGTTTTGAGTTTGAAGGAGGATGATGTTACGAAGATGCTTACTGCGTGTACTCACATAGGAAGCGATAATGTTGATTATCAGATGGAACAGTACGTGTACAAGCGTCGTCCCGATGGTAAGAATATGTGTATTACTATACACCTGCAAATAATTGTAAATAAAAACTATGTTTCTTTGTCAGTGGCTCAACATTAACCAGTATCTTGAGTTTCTTAGCCAAGGTTCTAACTGACTTTCATTGCAGGTTTGATCTGTATCCCATTGTGGGTGTAAAAACATATTTCAAAAGGCTTTCGTTGTTTGCATAAGCTGTGTGCTGTTATACATTTCACATTTTTTAAATTCGTTATTTACTTGTGAATGCACAATGTAACTTCTGCATGGCTTTTCTTCTTTAGTGTTTTCTGTGGCCATATTTTCATAATTGATCTCTCTTCTTGTCACACTATATGCAGTGGTTCTCATGTGACACTCACTTGACTAATTTATCATCTGTAGAAGTACATAAGGATTAGTTATTAACCTTCCTTACATTGTTTTTTGGTGGCTCTGCTTCTGTCAGAATTGAATTCTGGATAGCCCATAGGCTGTTATTTTTGTGATATGGCCATCATGGCTAATTTTTCTTTGGTACAGTTATTCTAGAGTAGATCCTGATTGTAATTTCCAAGTTTTTATTGAAATAATATCTTGTACTTTTGTAGGCAATTACATAATTAACCTGCGTCGGACTTGGGAGAAAGTTCTGCTTGCTGCTCGTGCAATTGTTGCCATTGAACATCCATCTGAAGTGTTTGTGATATCTTCACGTAATTATGGTCAGCGAGCAGTTCTAAAATTTGCTGCCCACACCGGAGCTACTCCCATTGCCGGACGGTTCACACCTGGCGCATTCACCAATCAGATTCAAGCAGCGTTCCGTGAACCCCGTCTTCTGGTTGTCACGGATCCTGCCCAAGACCATCAGCCAATTACTGAGGCTTCTTATGTTAACATTCCAGTAATTGCTTTCTGCAATACTGATTCTCCTCTTCGCTTTGTCGACATTGCAATTCCATGCAATAGCAAAGTAAGTTGTATTTGCTTTATTATATTATCTATTCTTTAATACCCATGTCTCCAGTTTTGCAACATGAATATTTCTAGATATAAAAAGAAGTAACAAGAAGTTTACTACACAGATACACCTTACCCTGAACATTGTATTTCCTATGTAACATACTATATGTTGGAGTGTGGGGAGGCTTTCTTCCCCTTGGTTTGAAAGCACTAATTGTTGCGAGTGTAAAAGTGCTGACATATCTTTTGTCCAAGGTTGACATCCTTGATGTAGATAATTATATAACAAAAGAAAATTAGTATTCTTTCAGGTGGGTTCTTCAATATATTACTGGACTGCACGGTTAAACAAGTGGAAGAGTATCTGTTGTCATCTGTTTGTTATAGTCAAAGTATATGAAGTGTGTGATTTTATGAAAAGTGCTTTAAACAATAACGTAATACCTAATACTCTTTAAATATTTTAAGTACTCGTGACATTTTGATAAATATTTCCAACCAGTAGCATGTGAAATATTAGTGAACATATGACCTGTTCTGAATTATCATACTCCTGCTTCATATTCTGGAGGTCCTCAGTTTAAATAATGAAGAGAGGCTATCCTGACTGTTTCATAATTTTCCACAGTCCCTCCAGGTAAATGCTGCCTAACTACAATTAGGCCTCAACTCCTTCCTTCCACATCCTTTCCAATTATAGTTTCATCACTGCCTGTACCATGTGACATTATAATCTGAGCTTCTGACAGTATCATTAAATAAACCATAAATTATGAATTACCGCCATACTTACCCAACTATTAGCCGGGTTTATCTGCTTTAATTTTCATTTAAATGTCGGTGTTTGTTTTATATTTGCAAGTGACAGGCAGCTCTGGGGATGAGTGTTGTTATCTTACGTCATGTGTCTTACAAATTGTAATTTAAAAGTCTTGTGTCATGTAATATTGATGTATAATCTGACAAATTGTAAGTATTATTAAATAAACCAGGGATAAAACATACATAGTTTTGTAAATTCAATTGATTTTTCATTAAAGACAGTTGTAATAGTGATTTGTAATTTTAATTTCAGTCTGCACATTCTATTGGGCTGATGTGGTGGCTGTTGGCGCGCGAAGTTCTGCGTTTCCGTGGCTCCATCCCTCGTGATGGAAAGTGGGATGTTGTTGTAGATCTCTTCTTTTACAGAGACCCGGATGAGGTAAATATCTGTGTAAAGGCACTTGTAACCATATGATATTTAACCTGTGACCTTTGTGTGTCAGCCCACGCATCATACTTGATCTAACGTACTCTTTACATCGATAATGCTACGTTGGATCACCTTTGTTAAGATATTCTGCAAGTGCCTGATTGGTACTGAAATATGTAGCTGTCTAAAAATCATGTCTGAATAATATTTAATGTGTTGATAGAAATATGTCATTGATAATTAATTTTTATTCATGAGAAATAAACTGTATTAATAGTAAGACTGAGCATTGAAATGCTTCTGGGAAGATAGAGGTCTGTATCGTCAAACATAAGTTAGAAATTTTGTATGAGAAATAAACTGTATTAATAGTAAGAGTGAGCATTGAAATCCTTCTAGGAAGAGAAATTTTGTGTAAATTTGCACATGACATCAGTGTACAGAATCTTTTGGAAGAACTACCATATAAAAGTTAAAAAATTACTCATGTCTAACATTGGTTATATGGTTAGCTATATATTTCCAGTGTATACTGCATGCAGGATTTTTTAATGATTCTGCCAAGGTTAACCTGACAGTTTGCCTAAGAATGGTATAGTGTGGTCTATCCCAAAATTTGAAGGTTTTAACTTAGTCTCATTTTAAAACAGGCTGAAAAGGAGGAGCAGGCCGTAAAAGAAGTGGTGGCAGCCCCGCTGAAGACGACTGATGGCGAGTTTACGTCGCAGCCAGCTGAAGTCTGGGCTAATGAGATGGTCACGGAGCCAGTAACACGCACTTGGGGCGAGGAGGTGCCAGTCACCGCACCTGTAGTAGGGACTACTGCTCCGCCCGTCACATACAACTCAGAAGACTGGGCTTCACAGGTAAGCACATCATTAGACAGTCTGAGAAACTGCGCGTTTTACTTTGTCATTAATGTGTGCTGGTGGCGGGAGAGGTAGAAAGATGCTGGTGTCATATGGTATTATGATATTGCTTGTAAATTTAGAATTGCAGCATACATTTTTCAGTATTAAGAACCCTGATATCATGTATTGTCTTCTCATTTTCCTTCAACTTTTCAATTCTTTTATGAAAGATTGCTCAACATAAAGTGAGCTGCAGCCCAACTCCATGCATCAGGTGGCTTTTCTTTTAGGATTTACATTTTTAAATGTAGTACGAAGCAGTCCTTATTTTATGGCCTGCAGAAGAAAGGAGGAAATTGTTCATCATGTTATACTGCATGGCAAGTACAAGTTTCACCGTTTCCATTCTTCCTTCCTATCGCATGCAGCCTCCTTCACCATCGCTACTTACAGTTTTATTTTCTTTCAGGTGCCTGATGAGTGGAGACCAACCAATGCAGTTGCTCCTGCCAATGAGTGGGGTGGTTCAAATAGTTGGAATTAAACTGTTATTTAACTCAGTCATTTTGTCTGTTTTGAAATGCAGTGTATACTGAATTGCCCAGAGGATTGTGATAAATTGAGAGGTTCATGAATTATTTGCATTATTTATATCAACCTCTTCATTCATACACTATTATCCATCAAAATCTAACTTACACAGTCTGATCCAGTGCGTCTTCCCCAGTCTAACGTATAAGTTTCATGTCTATCGTAACTTGGGTAATTTATTCAGTTTTGACTTGACAGCGTGGAATGCCATGCAAATGATCACTTCTGTTTTGTGCTTTCCTCTCTTAAGTAGTCTTGTAACTACTTGAAATATACTTGCGTAGCTTTTGTGGTTAATTTCTTGTAATCCACATAATCCTAATTAGGTATCTCTTCATACACAGTATATATCCATTTGTGCCCATTAACAATTCGTTGTATTCAGTCTATCGTAGAACTGATAAACCAGTGCATCAGTTTTGCTGTATTATATTAATTCATTTTTACAATATTTTACTAAAATCTAGACTCGTGCAAATATGATTCTTTGCCATAATCAGAATGAAACGCCTTAACTTCAACAACACAAATGCAATTGCAAAAAACATTTCCAACTTGTGTTCACCAACCAAGTGACACGGTACATAATGAAACAAGATATATCATTTTCCAAATGTCTTCACTGCAGTGTGCATTAAAGGGCCGACTTTTGGCCAGTTAGCGCTTCTGTTGTCTGCTGTGTTGTGATACTGTTCATTTTTAAGTTCAGCCACGTGACCTATCATTAGACCATTAGACATGTTCATTATCGGAAGTGACTTGTTTTCTCCTCCCGTGATATAACAACACTGTAATTTGATACTACCCTTCATCACAGTTTTCTGTTGTTCTGTCGTAATAAAGGCGGTAGAATATCATTCCTGTTACACAATGTTTTTCACTTGTGCGCAGCAAATGACGAAGACAGTTCCAGAGTTGGCGGACTTATCTTAACATTCCTGCATATGTTCCCATGTCATATGAAACTTGAACTTGCTATCCAATTGACCTTCAGAGCACCTAGCAAGTGAAGCCACTAAGGCTGAACTTCACACTGGTGCTATTTATTAATGCCAAAACTTTGCCCCAAAAGATCGCTCGCAACCAAGGACTTCAATACATTGAAACAAAATTATTGAATTATTTTCCAAACTAGATATATATCTTGGCAAGACTGTAAATGTAAGACAATGTCAGAGCAGTCGCAAACTTTTTTATGTGGTCAGCACTTTAGCATTATTTTTTCGGTTTATGTCAGTTGGTAGACCTCTGTCGCAGCGAATAGAACAGTTTGGGTAAAATGCAGAAAGAAGACTTACTTTGGGGGTAAGAATAGTAAAAGGACCTACACATGCAGAAACAAATGTGGTGGCAAGTGACAAAGCTCTATGAATGGTGTGAGCAGCGGAAAATATATTGTGTTAATACTGGAAAAGTATGCTAGTAGTAGTAGTAGTAGTAGCAGTAATAGTAGTGGTAGTAGTAGAGGTAGTAGTATGGTTCTAGTGATGATTTATTCCAACCAAGGTGAATATCTGTGGTGAGAAACAGCAGAAGGGATCTCATCATTCTTTTCGTAACTCGGACACAAACATCACCATTCTCTTTAAGTAACCACTGGCCTTTGTCAGGATAATATAATAATCATGATATAATAATCATATTTTTATTGATTAATTTGTAAAGGATGCTGTCATATTTGCAAGGCACAGACTTTAAAATGTAGTCTCAACTGTCTTACATATCAGTTTTTTGCATATGGTATAAATATTGATTGATATTTTAAATTCTAAACTTTTTTGTGGTCTTGTATTACCATTAACACAAAAGTTCCCATTGGTCTTCCTCTAAAATTAAGCATTTGGAAGGCATATAGAAACAACTTTTATAGCTTAGGTTTTAAATTATACATCTCTTAATTAATTAATTAATTAAAACTATTATTTAACCAACAGTCACCTTTCTAACTTCATTTGAACCACATATGAATAGTCACAGGGGCAAGATAAGGCTAATCCTTCAACACCAAAACAGCATAATCAGACCCATCACTTCAATGTAAATTTTCTCCACTGCCCTAATTTGATTTATATTTACTAGGACATTCATTACTGCGCTATTTTGAATTTCTTTTGAGCTTGCGTTTTCTTCAAAATGTCTCAATAACAAATTCAGTTACCAAATAAATATCCTGTAGTGATTTTAGGAATCAACAGATGTGCGAAAGTGACTTGCCTCCACAGAACAGAGTCCTTGAGAAGCTAAAAGTTGCTCATCTTTTCAAGACATTCCCTGCTTTTAATGAAACCTGAAGGTTTATTACTGTGTTCATAAAAGTGAGCCTACATTAAAGCGATGATTTCTAAATTAAATTGATTACTGACCAGTCCAGTTACTTATTTAAAAATAAGATTGTGGTTCTGTGAAGAGTTGTCCATGGACCCTGAATCTGTAGATAGAGGTATAATCTCGATTTCCATGGTTAGAGAGAACTGACAGCTCCAGTGTTTGGAAGACATGGGATCTTGGAACCTGTAGCAGTAATGGGAGAGAAAACACTTTTATATTATATGAGAATAATATCAAATGGAGTAGTGCAATAGTGGGGAAGTTTCTCATACTCTTACACGCTGGGGTCTTGACTATTTGTGTGTGTTAGTTTCTAGGTCTGAAACCAGCCGCATTAAGTGTGGATTTTTTGCTTCTCTCTGATGAAAGTCATGAGGTGTACAGGCCCCCTCAGTGGCTTGAATACCATGTTGTTCTGTAGGTTTCCCATATTAGCTACCATCATAATTTTCACTTTCAACCTGCTACTGGGGAAAAATGGGACTTCTACCTTTACATTTGCCAGGTGGTATATACCACAACAAACCGACACGCAGATGGCTGTCTTCTGGGATATTGCTCTGTGTAGTCTTATAAAAATTAACTGACTTTTCAGAGGCTCTTTTTGCCTCCATCATCAGGGAGTTGAGATGAGATTACATGTCGCAGTATCCTTGAAGACGATCATCTTTATACTCACCATATGAATCTGAAATCTTATTAAAAAACCAACATGCTTCAAAAAGGGGGTTAAAGTACGGTGGTTCAAATAACCACACTTTGAGGTGGAAGGATTTCTATTGGCCATAAAAAACTGTGCCAAACGTACCTACTAACATAACTTCTTGAATCTTGACTAAATAAGATGATGCCTTATCTCTGTCTTGGATGGAGTTGAGTGGTCTGAATCAGGATCTGGTGCATAATAATGCTAGTTTATTAAGTGGAAACATTTATTCTAATAGTCCAGTAAAAATTTCTTTACCTTTTGAATTAATTCAAATGTCTGCCTGGGAGATCCATTTTTGTCATAGGTAAAGTTTCCCAGATGAAATTTATCAGTGCTGTCATGTTTCAGACCCTAGAAGGAGAAAGTATAGAGAGAGCTTAAAAAAGTAGATGACAGATGACTTTACATGAAAATGTAGGTAATGTAGGATATATAATGAATTTAATCTTTATCATGTGGATATGAAGAGTTTTAAACCCCAAAAATAAGGGGCCATCAGTCAGACTTTAAATTCTGGGGTTTAACGGTATGCGACTATGATGCATGGCCAGCTGGATTGCATGTAAGCAGTGGCACAGATGTTTGTCTCACTTGATATTAATGACAGACGTGGTTTAGACATCTTTGTGGTCTTCTGGGTTGTGATTTCATGTAGTCTTGTAGGTGGTTACCAATGTCATGGCATCACAATCCAGAAGACCACACAATCAACTGGCTTGTGATATTCACTCAGCTTTGTATCAAGCTCTGATAATTGCCAAGACTATGATACTTAGAGGATTATTTTGCACAAATAGGATCATAGGTCACTCAGACACTTTTTAAATGTACAATTACATAGTGTTGTATATTTTATTAAAATTTAATTATTGTATTTAATACTATGGATGAAGGATTATTTATAGTATACTATCATTTTAAGTTAATGAAAGATAAAATCAACTTCAAATATTTTTGTTTTGAACACTGCAGACCACAAGCTGAATTTGCATCAAGGATGTTCCAATATTAGAAGTATATCCCTGGAATTCAGACATGAGACTGTTTCATTTATATATCTCATTTACTTTACTTCAACTTAAAAATATTCTTTATGTTGTATAAATTCCATCATACTTACAAAAACAGCAAATGCTTTTGGCGCTGAATTAATATTCCCTGTTGTTGATATTCTTGAAGGGATGTGTTCCATTGTTACTGCAGTAATGTGAATGACTGCAGCCAACTTAATTACAACATTTCCTCTTGAACCCCGGAATGCCCAACATTTGCCTGGCTGTATTGATGCCTGAAAATAAATACAACGAACACAAAAGAATGCGAATCATTTTTGTTTATGAGTTTCACAATCCCCAGATTTTGTACGTACAAAATACCGTGAAAACTACTTTTTGCCACTGGATTTGAATCTCGGATCTATTGTTCAAAACTATGCTGAGATTTTAAATCCGTTGAAATTTTTACGCTTACCTGGATAATATTCCGTGGATGGTTAGTTTCAATTTGAAATAAACTGATCCCCCAGACAGTTACCCAGATCTTCTGTTCATAGTTCTTGGTATCTGGAGTTGCTATAATACTTCCACCTAATGAGAATAGAAAGAACTTCATTACTTTACAGAAGCAACAATAGAGTTACAAGATGAATCAACAGATTTGAGGTCTCCATGTTGGTACGGATGATGTTCTTCTGGGTTTTGGCACCATGTAGGCTTGTAAGTGGATGCCAACTTTTTGGAGAAATACACTGTCTCCATCTTCAGGGCTGAAGAGTTTATGAATCTACATGGTGCCAAAATCCAAAAGAACAGCTTGAATCGACAGACATACATCTTGAAAAATTGTATTGAAAATACCAGAAATATAGAAATGTTTATAATAAATGTATACTATTAATTCTAGTCTTGCCATCAGAAAGATGCTCTCACCTGAGGATTCCAGTGCATAGTCTGGCATACCTAACTTATCAGCGTCATATTTGGCAATTTCATCCTCAATCTTTTTCTGTATTGATGCATCTGTAAGTAATGAATACAATGAAATTACCATTCATGGAGCATTAAAATTGTGGACTACTTCAAAGAGAGGGAATACTGTCTTCTGCTTAGCTTTCTTTTGATTGCCACTGTCTGTATTCATCCATTAGCAATGGAAACAATATACAATTTGTCTTGTGTCATGATCTATTCTCATGCATAAAGAACACTTAAAAGCACACCACTGTTATACTGTTTGTGGCACTTCGGATGTGTAAATGTTTTACAACCACAGTCTACATGATAGTATTAATCTGCTTGTCAGCAGTCCTATAATTACCATTCTTAAGAGACTGAGTGATTTTCATTCGGGACACTTCAGCCTGAAATATAAGAAATAAAAGAATTAAAAACACCAATATTCTAAGTACATACTCCAAAACTTAAAAATGTTTAATAATGTACGTCTAAGTATTACCTTTAGAGACCTCAAAGATGACTTAATTTCATCTGCATACTTTCTCATCACTTCTGAGGTTTGCTTCCAAGTTTCTATCTCTGTATGAAGGTTGTTGATGTTTGTTAGATATTCTCTTTGAAGTTTCTGGATTTCAGTTTTATGTTCCGTATAGAATGTTTGCAGTCTTGAGGAAATATACTGAGGTCCATCTTCAGTACTGCATTTCTTATAGGTATTGTCAGGTACTAACAGATCATGGGGGAAATCCTTAGACTGTGTAGTGTGAGCGATTTGAAGTAATTCGCTATCCTGCATTATGAATCCTGAAATGAAAGCGCTCTTAATAAAATCATGACAAATTTTTCTTTCTTTTCAATATAGCTTCTTGGTTTTGTGGAACCTGCCTTGAACCAGTCAAATCCAGTCCACCTCTTCACATCCTAGTTTTCTTAGATCTAGTTTAATGTTATCCTGATTTCTATGCATAAGTGTCTGAAGTGGAATTTTCGTTGAGGTGTTTGATGTGTACGTGATAGCAGACACATGTAAAATAATTCCCGCAGGTGTATTCAATTATGCATCACTAAAGCTGTGTTTGTGTTGCGGTCATTATAGTGTCTGAGTATGGACTGAATGACCAGGGTTCAATCCCTGTCAAGGGCAAAGGATTTTTCTTTTAGCCTCTGGTTAGGTAAATAAATAAATAATCCAGCCTCACAAGGAACAACCTGGGGATGGTGGGGTATTGTGGGAGGAGGAGGTCATTACATATCACTAATGACACACAATACAAATATGGGTACAGCATTTCAAACGAAGACATTTCATGTTACTGTTCCACTGAGGAGGTTATGTAACATTCTCAAAATTCTGTTCACTCAAAGAAAGATATAGGTTAAAGGACATTGGCATAGAACTTACCTGTAGTTGCCAAAGTGGCTGCAATTGCTATTATAAAGAATGTAAATTTTGATGTAAATACACGCTGAAGGCAATGCCATGCATGAAGCAGAAACCATATGTCCAGAAGTTGCAGCCATTCAAAGTACCAAAATCTTGCTGTAAAGAAAATAGTAAAGTTTAAAGTGTAATGTTCTTCATATATACATATCTGAGTTTTCTTCCTAGTACCTCTGTTTTGAAGTTATTAAAGTAGTTTAATTTAATCAGATTTTCAGATACACAAGTTTTTTAGAGCTGTAATTGTAATATAAACTTAACCCAGAAGATCACAATTATTTATGTTACCTTGTTCAGTAAACAGTGAAGAATTTGATGAAAGAAGGTCCGTCACATTACAGTCCAAACCATATTCTAGGTAATGCAGTTTATTTCTTCCATTTTTAAATCCACATGATTCTGTTTTTAGAGAAAATAAAAGCTGTAGACCATATCTGTATCAGTAGGGTTTGAGGTTCTCATGGTGGCTAGTATGAAGATGGCTGTATTCTGCGCTGTTGTGCCGTGTAGTCTGGTAGAAGTTTACCAATTTCTCAGAGATACATGCTGCCTCCATCATCATCAACTTGGTGTAGTAGTCAGCAATAACCTGTGATATGTCAGTAAACTTCTACCAGGCTACACAGCGCAACAGCGCTGAATACAGCCATCTTCACAGAGAGTTCGTTTGGGCTTCAGTTTGAAGCAGACAATATTAAGTTAATAGTGAAACTTGAAAATATTTTTGCGTGTAAAACTTCAAAATAGAATAAATCTGAAGAGTATAGGTTAGTTTATGGAATTAATAATTTTAAACAAAATCGTCTATGAGTCACTGCTTATACACGATCCAGTTGGCTCGGCATCGCAGTAGCGTACCTCTGAACCGTTAACCCCAGATTTAAAGCCTGGCAGGCACCTATTACTGTGTGATAAGGGTTAATAAAGGTATGATATTAGCGCTTTGGGAGGAGAAGTGTAACTAATTAACTGAGTGATTAACAAATGGGCTACTGGCTTATTCATTACTGCTGCCACAGCAAATAATGTTAAACTAGGCAGACTGTATATGATTTAAAATATTCCAAAAGTTTCTTTATTAGCGTATTATATAAGTTATGCAAATACTCTTTCAATTTGAGACCTGGAATACATTTATAATGATGCAGTATGTTTTTTTTGTAGGTATAGATATACTGAAAACCGATGCATAAAATTCCAGTCAGCTTTGAATATTTTATAACCCTTAACCTCCACAGAAAATGCCTTTCCAAACCAGAAAATGTCAGCAATTTAGACAGAAAAGGGGTTATGAAGACTAGAATGAAGTTAGTGTTTCCCATTATTTGCTTGCATTTTAGGGGACTTCAACCAGGTCTTCAAAACGTGCTAGAAACAAAATATTGTCTGTTATTCCAGAGAAAACTTTTAACCTTGGCAGTGTGGATGAATATGTGGACCTAGTCAAAAATTCATGTTTTTAACCCTGCATAATGTAGCGTTTTAACAGATATGTATCAACTGATGAATTTCTACCCACTGATTTACTGCCATTAGACTGCCACGTGGGTCTACACTGTTAAGTTTTTCTCCTGGATAAGATACAGTACACGTTGAGCTTTTGTGCTTTATCTGTTTGGTTATCTGGAAGATAGTAACAGAAATGAAGTTTCTATAAACTTACTACTGTAATGACAAGGTGCTGTTGATGTATAATTTTTTCTGCATGAGCATGAACAATCCATAATGCCTCTAGGACTGGATGATGAACCTGTCCCTGTTAATATACAATAGTTAGTTACATTGGCCCGTATAGTAAATGCAGCAAGATGTACACACACAGACACATAGGCCTATTATAACCGTATACATTATATGTAGGTATAATAGATACAGTCTAAGGAAAAAGATTTTGAACATATACAAAGAATTATATATTTAACCCTTTAAAGGCCAGTGGGAACTATATACACCACCTACTTTAATGGTAAGTAACTATGCATTTTCTATTTATGGAGTTTGTATGATTCTGAACTGTAAACGGGGATTATTTCTTAAACAGCTTTTACCATATGATTTTTGTAATGGTGA